TGCATTTAAGAAAGCTACGGATTAAGGACATTTTAAAATCCTCCACCTTTCCAGCCTGTCTACCCCCTATACCCTGAATCTACATTCATTGAAATTATCATACCGCCTCCCTATTACAATCTCCTTAAAGTTTTATTACTCAGTTAAGACCTGGACACTGTCCATAAACTCTCTTATTGAAGCAATTACAGAGCAGGGGTCCCTTTTCTAATTCCTCTTCGACTTCGTGGCCCAAATACAAGCATCTTTCTCAAGTTCAGGACAATGTTAAGCCGTCCTGCTGATGCCGCAACTTAAAGAGGAGAGGTTGATTTACGTAAACATTGTCTAAATAATACCGCAATGTTGACGCAGAAGGCTCAACACGATAAACTATCCAGTGAACTAATATTAGCGAAGTAAAAAAAAAAATACGGCGATTGTACGGAGGTTTTCAAAGTCAAAGAGCTGGTTTTGTAAATAAAAAAAAAGAAAGGGGGGGGTAGGGGCGAATTAACATGACATGATTTCTCCGGTTTTTGACGACGATTAATAAAAAGTAATTCATATGATGATCCAGTGTGCTCCTGAACCACTATTGCCCCTGAACAAAGCTATCTTTTTTAAAGATGTTTTGAGATCTTCGGAGGGTATTTTTCTGGCTTTAAGGCAATTACCGTCAGTAACTGGACCCACCCGATTAGAAATATCCTGGCAGGCTTTATTCTCTCTTCTCGCGGTATTCCAGTTATTACTGTAAAGCTGTACTTACATTCTCACAGTGGAGAACATCGAAAGCTCTAACACAACAGAAAAATGACTGTGCCAGTGTCTGATACCTGTTGGGGCAGACACTATTGTCAGGTCCTCACCATCTCTTTCATAGAGGGACTTAAAGTCTGTGGAGGCCTCATTCTAAGCCAGAGGGAGTCCATCTTCGACTCCCACCTCCCAGTTGATTTGGTGTCATTAAATTGGTTCCGTGACACAATTATATTTGGGCTCTACATACTATGCTTTGAGCAGGGATTACGCGTTTAGAGGGAGCAGACATTTCCCCCGAATAAAGCGGCTCGTGCGTTCCTTGGCCCTTATCAAGAGAGCAGAGACTTCTGGCGCATTCAGGCCACTAAAATCCCACTTAATTGAATTTCTTTTCAGATGTGCGAGCTTACTGGCTTTTGCCATTCGATTTTACTCGGTCTTTCTGAGCGTTTAAATTCACCTTTCTGTAAGAGCCCCTCGGCAAGTGCACTCGCAGATATGATATTTTTCAAGTAGGGGCCTACTTTTTTTCGCGCGCTCACACACACACACGCACACGAACGCATGCACGCATACGCACACACGCACACACGCACACACACACACACACACACACACACACACACACACACACACACAAATTGTGTCGCAGAACCATCTGTTTGAATCCAGGGGCTTTTCTGTGTTTAGCTAGTGCGCATTTTCTTTCTGTTTTTGTGTGGGTTTCCTCCGGGTACTCCAGTTTCCTTACACAGTCCAAAGACATGCTTGCCAGGCAAATTGGAGACTTAAAATTGGCCATAGGCTAGTGTGTGAGTGTTAGCGGTGTGTGCAACCTGTGATGTATTGGCAAGCTGTCAATAGTTGGTCTCTGCCTCTTGCCCATAGTCAGCTGGGACAGGCTCTAGGTGAACTGCGACCCTAGCGAGGAAGAAGCAGTGTGGATGGATATGAAGTTTGTTTCCAAAACACAATAAGTGCCAAAATTACAAAAATTGAGATAATGCCTTAGAGCGACAGCCCTGTGCTTCTTACACATGGTGCAAAAGTCAATTTTTGGAAATTCACACTATATCAGGTGTATATTTCATGGTCAAAGTTTGTGTTTTTATATAAAATGCAATAGGTGCCAACACAGAAAACGCTGATTCACTCAAAATGAGTAAAGTGGATATATTGCGTTCTGGAAACAAACTCTTCATACATACATACATACAGTGTGTGTATATATATATATATATATATATATATAGCCTATACACAGTTGCAATCAAAATTATTCAACCCCCATTGCAAATTGGGTTTAAAAGCAAAATTTACAAACTTTCAGCTGTTTGTGATAAACAGATTAAACAAGAACATTTTAAATAGCTCTACACAACTAATATTACAAGTGGTTTCTCCAAACTTAACACAAAATGCCATTTTTAATGACTACTGCAGCCTCAAAATTATTCAAAGCCCCCCCCTCCCAATAGAATCCCTCATAAGAGCATATTTGCAAATCAGGTGTGGTCTCAAGCACACCTCATGCAGCTAATCAAGAGCTTAATTAGTTGCATCAGGTCTGCTTGCGATAGAACACATCAAATACTTGCACTCGCTAGGGGTTTGCTGACGGTGATATTTGATTGCATATTCGAAAAATGGCTGTCGAAAGATTTGTCCAAAAAGCTAACAGAGGAGATCATTGCCTGGCACAAACAAGGAAAAGGATACAAAATGGTAGCACCGGCACTGAATTTTCGTAGAGATACAGTTGGAAGCATAGATCGCAAGTTCTGAGTCAAAGGAAGAGTGGCTACAGTGTCAGGAAGAGGAAGAAAGAGGAATCTATCAATGACTGTCACCAGATTCCTGAGGAGACGGGTGGTCAAAAACCCTCGAGTGACTGCAGGAGCAAGGTTTCAGTTTGCACAGTAGGGTGCATACTAAACGTTGAAGGTCTCCAAGACATACACCACAACTGATCCAAAAGCACAAGCTCCAATATGCTAAAAACCATGTGAATAAGCCACAGAAGTTTGGATATATTGCATTGTGGAGTGATGAAACAAAACTGGAATATTTCAGTCTTATGAATCAGTGGTATGTCTGCAGGAGGAATAAAGAAGCATATGCTGAAAAGTACACCCTGTCTACAATGAAGAATTTTGGGGGCTTTTTGATGCTGTGCGGCTGCCTTGCTTCCTCTGGCACTGGAAATCTGCAAAGTGCAAAGGGCAAGATGAATTCAGTCAAGTACTAGGATATCCAAGGAGAAAATGTCATGCCGTATGTAGGGAATCTAACGCTTGGGCATCATTGGACCTTCCAAAAGGACAATGATCCTAAGCATACCTTAACATCCACCAAGGCTTGGTTTCAGAAGAAGTCTGGGAAGATTCTAGAGTGCCCATCACAGTCGCCTCACTTGAACCCCATAAAAAAAATCTCTGGTAGGATTTGAAGAACACAGTTCCAGCATGCAAGCCCAAGAATATTAGTGAACTGGAGGCCATTGTCCATGAGGGCTGGGCTAAGATTCCTTGGGAATGCTGCCAAAAGCTGACATCTGCCTATGCATCACATTTCCAGCAGGTCATAGCGGCAAAAGGGTTTTCTACTAAGTATCAAAGATGCTTGTCATTAAGGGGTTGAATAATTTTGAGCCTGCAGTAGTCATTAAAAGTGGCATTTTGTGTTGAATTTGGAGAAGCCACTTGTAATATTTGTTGTGTTGAGCCATTTAAATTGATCTTGTTTGATTTGTTCATTGCAAACAGCTGAAAGTTTGTACATTTTTCCACTAAACCTAATTTGCACTGGGGGTTGAATAATTTTGATTGCAACTTATATATATATATATATATATATATATATATATATCAGTGGCCGCTCGTGAACTGGCAACAGGGGAGGCTCAAAGAATCCCTTAAAATTAATGATTGGTCACGATCTGTTTTCAATCATTAATTTAAATTACCATTACAGAAACTCCGAAAACTCTCAACATTATCAGGTGTGGCCAGTTTTCATTGATAACGCATACCTATCAACTCTCACGCATTCGGCGTGAGTTTAAGTGGCATATTTACCGTCCTCTGCTGTAATCAGCAATTATTCAATCAGCGCGTATGTAAGAGATTCTCGCGCGGAATTGAAGTCCTTGTGCACTGGAGGGGTTGAAAGCAATGGAATTGCATTAAGATGTTTCAAATGGTCTAATTTCATTAAAACGATCATGAAACACATGCATTGCTTCCAACCGCTGAGTAAAGAAAAGCGTGAGAAGTCCGGAGTCGTGATCGGTATGCGTTATAAATGATAACTGGCCATATATATATATATATATATTTATCAGCCACAATATTAAAACCACCTGCCTAATGTGGGTCCCACTCGTGTCCCAAACAAGAACTGCTGCGTCTCACACTCCCTCCACCACTATGTCTTCTTCCCACTGGACATCCTGGTGCCATTTCTTCCTCAGGTAAATGATAGTCTGGCAACTGGCAGCTGGACATGATGTAAAAAAAAAGCAGGAGTCACTGAACCAGGCAACCTTTTACAGTTGCTCAGCGGCCCAGCTCCAATGCTCACGTGTTCAGTGTAGGCGCCTTTGGTGATGGACCACAGTTAGAACGGGTACTCTAACTCAGTTCACAACAACAAAGTTTGGGCATATCTTTCCTCATTAATGGTGCCCTCCAAAATGTATAGGTCATCCAAGCATTGTGCTCTGACTCACCCCCATATCATTTCAGATGCCGGCTTTTGGACCTGACACTGATATCAGCCTGGGTTATCCTTGCCATCTTTGGTCCAAAGAACATGCCAGCTGTTTTTTTTTTTTTGTCCCCAAAAACCACTTGAAAAGTTGAGTTGTTTGGCCATTAAACACCTTTGCACTACGGCACTGTCCATCTCACTGAGCCTAGAGACGTCAACAGAGTTTTTGGATAGCGTTGATGTATGGCTTTGTGTCTGTACAGTAAAGCTTTACCTTGCATCTGCAGATCCAACTGCCTATAGTGTTGACAAATGAAGGTTTACGAAAGTATTTCCGACCTCACGTTTTGACGTTCATTACACACGCATGACAGTTCCTAAAGTTACTTCTGAGAGATCTGAGGTCACGTAGAGTCTGACCTAGTTTTTTGGCTTTGCCTCTTCTTCATGCACTGAAATGCCATCTTTTAATCATACTGTGTGCTGTAGAAGGTGAAATGTAGAGGACAATGGATTGTATGTTTAAACATCAAAATGGTGGGGGTGGCATGGTGGTGCAGTGGGTAGCACTGTTGCCTCACATCAAGAATGTCATGGGTTTGAATCCAGCCTGATGCCCTTCTGCATGCAGCCTGCATGTTCCCCCCTTGATCGCGTCGGTCTCCCCTGGGTACCCCAGCAACATGCACATCAGGCTAATTGGGTCTCCCTAACAGTCCAAAGGCATGCATATCTGGCTAAGTGGGAACTCTACATTGCCCATAGTTATAATTGTGTAGGTGAGCATTATACAAACCCTCCAGTGGATTGACAAGCTGCTCAGGGTGTGTTCTTGTCCCTTGCTCATAGTCGGCAGGGATCGGATCCAGCTCCATCACGACCCCAATGAGGAAGAAGCAATTTAGATGAGAGATGGACATTAAACTGGTGAGCCTCAACCCATCTTTGCTCTTGAGGGACAAGGCCTTTTTTGGAAGTTCCATGTATATGATCACATGATTATCTCACTTGCTTTATATCACCCGTTTGGCATTTCCTCATCTTTGAAATTTGTCATCTGTCCTAAATTGCCCCTACGCCAACTTTTGCGGGCTCTGTTGCAGTCATTAGATTTGAAATAAGCGGTATTTTCTATTTGCGATTAGCAATTGAATTCACAAGTTAAAACAAATGTATTGCTGTGGTGTTTTCAATGGGGTGAACAGACTTTTTTATTTTATTTGTATTTTCATTTTCATTTAACGTGATTTTTAATGGCCATTAGGCATGGGTAACAAATGGGTTTTCTGTAGGGGACGTGTGCACGCATGTGTTGCTCACATATATTCAGGGGACTGATGAGTCAAAAGTGGAATAATTTGGAAGACATGGGACCCGGTACATCTGGCGTAAAGATAACAGAGCATTCCACAATAAGAGCATCATACCAACATTCAAACATGGTGGTGGTACTGTGATGGCCTGGGGCTGCTTAGCTGCTTCAGGACTAGGGTGACTTGTCGTAATTGAGGGAACCATGAACTCTACCAGAAAATTCTGAAGGAGAGTGTCCACCCATCAGTTTGTGACCTAAAGCTCAAGCGCAATTGAGTTATGCTGCTGGACAATTTCCCAAAGCGCACAAACAAGTCCACCTCTGAATGGCACAAAAGAAAAAAAAAAGAGAGAAATTTTTGAGTGGCCCAATAAAAGTCCTGATGTGAATCTGATTGAGATGCAGTGGCAAAACTTTAAACAGGCAGTTCATGCTCAAAAACTGCCCAATGTGGCTGAATTAAAACAATTCTGCAAAGAAGAATGGACCTAAATTCTTCCACAGCTTTGTAAAAGACTCATAGCCTGTGATCACAAATGTTTGATTGCAGTTGTTGCCGCCAAATGTGGCAGGACCAGTTATTGGGTTTAGGGGGGGGCAATTATTTTTTCACATCTGAGATATACAGTACTGTGCAAAAGTCTTAGGCACCCTGCACTTTTTAAAATTCAAATCTGTATTAGATGTTTACTTTTTGTTTCCATATTAGAGTTCCTGAAGATAAAAAGTAAATTAGAAATTCCAAATGTTAATTTAAAGAAAAGTTTCAAAAATAAATGTTTGTATTCCATTAAAAATAGTCAGTACAGATATTATAGTCCAGACAGAGCCTTGATGTCAACATCATCATAGCTGTTTGTAATTTCTTGGAGGGACAGACACAAGTGAGACAGCCAGTCTGCAGAAGAACGGTGGCAAGTTCTCCACTCTGTTTGGGACACACAATAAGCCAATCATCTTGTAAAACTATAGCACAACAGGACAGTGTCCCAAATTTTTTTGGCAAAGGGTAGTCACCCAAAATATTGATTTGATTTAGTTTTCAACAGTCTGCAGCTCTGTTTAGTACATTTCTCGGTTATTAGAAACTTTTAATTTCATCATTTTTGCAAGCATATTTGGCCTAAGAAATTGATTTAAATGTGCCTAAGACTTTTGCACAGTACTGTAGGTTTTGAATAACTCTTTACCTTCAACATTACATTAATATACTTGTATTATGTTGGAAAAAATACAACCGCACATTAACTGATGTTTCGCCACAATAATTTTATAGATTTTTCCAAAAAAAAGACAGATTTAAATTTTGACACTTGCAGCACATGTCAAAAAAGTTGGGACAGTAAAGTATTTACCTCTTTGTAATGTTGCAATTCCTTTTCACAACTCATCATAAACATCTGGCAGTGAAGACACCAAAGGATTAAATGTTTCAGATGTAACTTTGTCTCATTCCTCCTGGAAATGAGTCTTAAGACTATACACTATATGAGAGTCCACCAGGCAGGTCTGCTGCCTGCCATCTCACCGATTTTCATGAAACTTGGCATGGTAAGTTAGGCAGGGAGAGATTCAGTTTTTGATATTTTCCGGGGGGGTCTAGACCACCCCCCTGATCTTTGAGGCCAAAACCTCAAATTCTCAACCACACAGGGGACAATGAAATTTTGTGTGTCGATAAATGGTGTGCTGAGGAGGAAGTGAAAATATTTTTTTGCCGATCCCACTTCCTCATCCAAGATCAGAATTTCTATGCACAATAAGACAGCACCGTCCAAGACTTGTTTAACACTCATGTTGAATAATAATGTGATAGCAGATGTAATGCACTCTCTGAGTGCCTTCTAGTATGGAATGCAGGCCTGAATTGCAGGGATGGATGTACGCTAATAAATAAAATGAAGTTTAACAGACAAAACATGAAATATCTTGTCTTCTTTCTGTTTTATTGCGCATTTTCCATACCGTCCCAACTTATTTGGACAGCGACATATTTTTCATCATTTTTGCTCCATAGGCTGCCACAATAGACCAGTAAGTCAGCACTTTAGGCTGCAGTGTATTATTTAAATTCCTTGCATTCTTCGCAAATTTGGTGCAGTAAATGGCGAAAATAACAATTATCAATAACATCGTCAGTATCCAAATGTTTGTTGACACGTTTTTTATTTATATTTTAAATAAAAGACAGAAAGAGAGAGGGGGGAGAGAGAGAGAGAGAGAGCTTTCAAGCTCTGATTTACTGCATTCAAAAACGAAGTGGTTGGAGCCCATTCAAGGCTCAGAGTGTGTGCTGCGGTTTCGGGCGATGTGACTGAGCCCAGCATGTGATGCTATCTCTCAGTTCACTGATATATTTAATGCATTAGTGGCAGGCCTTTCAGAAAGTGGAGATCGTTCAAAAAATGTGTGGCTTTTACAGATGTAGAGAGGAGCGCAACAAGGCTCGCATCATGTCTGTACAGGGAATTTATTCATCCCTGAAATGCTATTCATAATCTGTGTCTCCCATCCCTGTGCATTTGGTGGAATATCATTTTTCCTCAGATAAAAACCACTCAAGGCTGCATAAACAAGCTGCATCGCAACATTAAAATTAGTGGGCAGACACGACTGTCTTCAGTAGTGTTTCTCGTTTTTTTCTTTCTTGTGGATATGTTTAGTTCTCAGAGAAAGCACTTGTGCAATTTTAGGTCCTCTAGCTGGTCCCAGTTTCATTCCGCAGTTTAAGTCGCAGTGATTATAGTGTGGCCATTTCTTTAGCGCAGTTTAATGCTGTTGTTTATGCAATTTTACAACTCAGGTCGTCAACCGCAGGGTTTGATTTATTTCATGCAAAGGATGGTCATAAAATGTTCGAAATAGCTGGTGTCAGTTAATGCACATCTCATCCTTAAAAATACATCTGGGGACTGGCATATCTTCGTTGCAATAAAAGCGTTAAATAAAGGACACACTTGAGTACATGATGGGAAATTCAAGCAAGCATGTGAATGCCATGAATATAGAAAGCTAGAATGGTTAATCAAGGGCACATTAGCTAACCTCTTGGCGACAGGGCATGTGCCTGGGGAGCCACGTCCATAAGGAGCACCAAACATAGGCTACCAACAAATTTGTGGGTCTGATTTTCCCAAGCATATGCGATACATGCAGCCTCATCCACAGTCCCTCAAGCTAGCTGAGCGACCTTTTCAGGTAATGTCAACATCAAACTCGTTGTTTTGCGAATATCAACATTTTTGTTCCTATTTCCACCAGCATCTTCCTGAGGTCCTTTGCAATTATTCTGGGATTGATTGGCACTTTTTACACCAAAGTAAGTTGCTTTTTAGGAGAGAGGGCGTCTCTTTCCTGAGAGGTATGACAGCGGCATGGTCCCATGTTATTTGTACTTGCATATTATTGTTTGTAGAGATGATCAAGATTTCTTCTGGTCTTTGAAAATTGCTTCCAAGGATGAATCAGACTTGTGGAGGCCCACATTTTTTTTTCTTGAGGTCTTGGCTGATTTCTTTTGATATTTCTATGATTTCAAAGAGAAAATCATGGAGTTTGAAGGTTGTACATCCAAAGGTACACTGCAAAATGACCCAAAAATGATATCAATTAACTAGTGAGAAGCTTCTTAGCCATGATGTAATTTTCTTAACCTGTCCTAGCTATGTAAATGCGCAGTCAACTTTGCGTACCTAAACTTGTGACCCACTGGAATTGTGATATAATGAATTATTAGAGAAATAATCCAGCTATGGACAATTGTCCGGAAAAAGTATGTGTGTTAGAAAGAAGATTGTCTAGCCTGTGATGATCCAGACAAGGAACCAAAGGCAGATTCAAGGGACTATTTATTAACACAAATACGTAAATAGAAGAGGGAAAGACTGCAGCCCAGGACTATAGAGGAGCAGTCAAGCTAAACTGGTAATGACTGGAGAGGGTAGGGTCATGTCTGCACCCAGGCCAGTGGCCATCCCAAGGCAGATGCCATGAGAAGCCCCCTTGCAGAACCAAGGCTGCTAGCCAACAGGTTTAGCAGGAATGCAGTCGCAATCTTGGAGACCGATTTAAGGCTTGGGAACTTTAATTCCTATTAATTAAACACCGAATAGTATCTAGGAGTTCTGTTTATCATAAATTCACTGAAACACATGGAAGAAGAGCTCAGCTCAGTATTAGAAGATACTAACTGACTGAAACATTTAGTAGGGTATGAACCATGACAATCCCGCAAACACACTGACACTACAAAGAAATTATATAGGCAGGACGTTTACAAAAGGGATGAGGCATACAAACGGTAA